CGCACAAGCTACCCTCCTGGTGACGGTGCGGTATGCGACGGCTGTCTTCGGAGTAGCGCGCGGCTTATAGATGAGTGTCGGAATATCGGCGCTGAGAATCTGCTCGAGGGCCTAGGTCTTGGTGCTCCAACCTGTACAAACTGCTTCGCTGCTGGTGTGGCATGCGAATGGCAAAAGGCAGATAAGGAGGCTGCTTCTAAGGGATGCTAGGAGTTGGAGGGAAAGAGAGCTACGAAGAAGACACTTGTTGAGTTGGGATGGACAAGAGATGGTACTTATTTGATTACAATTCTATCCACTTGCCACTCTTTCCATTTGCATCGTACTTCACGGTAATAGGTCCTCATCGCAACGAGCAGGTTCGACGTAGTCTTTCGTTCTGCAGCATCCGAGCTCTGGTAGAGTCAGCTGGCGCTTGTCCTTAGCTGCCACTGCCAAATCGACCTTCTCGACGTCTTCCAACTCGTCGCTCTTATTGCTCTCCTCGTCCGAGTCAGGAATCGCACAGATGCGCAAGGCTTGACTTGCCTCTATGCTAGATCGCTCTGCGCATGGAATCGGGCCGCCGCTAAGACCACCAGGACCTAACCAGGCATCGAACTCGCGGCCGAGCTGCACTGCAGGCGCATTAACACGCTGCACAAGTTGTAGCTATACTGTCCACTCCGCGACTCGCAGCGTCTGCTCCACCTAACAGGATGTTACTGTATCCGCCGGCATAAGCAAGAGACAGCCCTAACCCAGCACCTGAGCGGCTTCGTACTATCGACGAGATCGCTTCAGCCGGTTGTTGTACGCCACCCACGTACCAGAAGGTTGTTCTTGTTCCCAGAGGATCCGCTTGGCTTAGGCACGCACATGGCCCTCTCTCTCCCGCCGGCTTTTACCCCGGCCCTTTCGAAGATCCGCTTTCTCTAGCATGTTAACCGTCTGCTGGTATCTCTGACCAATGCTAGCCAAACCCTATCGAACAACAATGGCCGCGGTGGACTTTACGTTTTCGGCCTGCGTTACTGCGTCCTAGATGAGGTTAAAGGGAGACCTTGTCTGACCTGCTGTGTTTGATGGCAAGGCAATACAAACCAGTTAACCTGATTGTCGCTAGTTCTGCATAAACTGCGTCGCATCGCGTCTTGCCGTAGGGCTGCTAAGCTGCCGGGCATTGCGAAGCATCGTCGTGGCGGTGACGTAGGGGAGCCGCGCAGTACAAAAGAAGTCAAGCTGGCCTATCCTCTGCCCTAGGATCCAGGCGATATCAGGCACGTTACCGTCGCTTATTGCACGATGCGCTAGCTGCTCGGCAGCAGCAGCATTTGGTTTCGGAGCTACAAGCCCGCGTTCTTCTCTCCGCTTCGCCGCAACTGCCGCCTGTTTCTTCTCGCGTGCTACCTCTGCTTTGCGATTGTTGTTGGAGACGCGGCTGGTATAAAGAGGGGGTGTAGCGTTATCTTCCCTATCGTTATGAGCACTCTTCTCCTCGGCCCTATGGTTATGAGCAACTTCTTCTTCGTCTTCCGTCTCGTCTGCATCCTGCCCAGCACTATAGCTTCTCCTCCGTCTGCCTCGCCTCTAGTAGTGGCCCGCAACAGGGTCCTCCTCACTCTCGCTAGCAGAGGCGAGGCATGTGCGCTTTGGAGAGGGTTTGTGTGCTCCTTCCTAAGCTGCCGTACGTTTCTGCGCCGACGGAGGGGAATGTAGGCCTACTCTAGAACTCTCCAAGACTCTTGCTGCGCTAAAAAGTCGGTGCTAGGTATTATCAAGCAGGATGTCTGCAGGAAGGCTTGTACGCAGTAGGGCAAGTGCCCCTAGAAGAGAATGCGCGATTAAAAGAGGGGGACAGTCTACTGTGTCTACGCTGAACCAGCCAGCATGATATGCAAGCGAGTTAGGTATAGGGGAAAGCAATGAAGTGGTCGAAGCAGCTCGCAACAGGTCACGATGGGCTTGCGTAGGAGGAGTATACGGAATGCGCGATGTATTCGCTGTAGACTAACTACTCGCTGCGTTATCGGGCGCTAGGAAAGGCTGATGAGAGGTGACTATAGTGACGACGTACATTGGTGAAGAGAGCTTTGTGGCCGGCCCGGATAGGAGAGGAAGCGAGACGAAATCGCGTAGCTGGGAAATTACGCCGAGCTACTTAGGGCTTATTACGCCTATCGTCTTCCTGCCTTCCTCTAACCTAACCAATATAAGGCGACGGATTATGCACAATCCGCGCCCGATTTGGTATCGCGTTAGGGTTCGCTAACTAAGAAAGGAAATCTAGAGGGCATAATCCGTGCGCATAATCCGCGGGCTTTAACA